TCACCGAGTTGTATGAACAACTCGTCGAGTCCTCCTTCAATGTATGAACACTCTGGCTGTGACTCTCCGACTTGTATGACCAACTCGTCGAGTTTGATCTAGAGGTATGAAGACTGACTTGGACACGTGACTCGACTCGTCGAGTCCAAAGAATGACTTGCCGAGTCGCATGCATGCAATTACTATTCAGACGATTATGTTCATAACCAATGCATCCAACTGATAGATCTGGGCTCCTAAGGCCTGGTTTGCACGTAAAGGTTCCATTTTTACGTGCACATACACTCCTAAAGAGGTTTATAGGCTTAGAATGCATGAATAAGGCTAGATCTAGGGTTTATATGCAACAAGGTTCAATAAAGGTATTAGATCTGGGTTTTGGGATAGAAATATGATTAGATCTGAAAGCTATAACACTTACACAAGCTCCCATAATAGATTAAGCTCATAAATGGGCAAAAAGGTAACCAAAATGATATTCTTGAAGAAAAACAACCAAAGAACAAAAAGAGTCCAATTAATACCTCAAATGACTCTGAAATGGATGCAAGATCTTGTTCCCCTTGTTCTCCTTTGGATCTAGCCTTCCTTCTCTCTTCCAATATTCACTTCTTACACAAAATGCCCAAAAACACTCAAGATAGGTTAGGGTATTGCTATGAAACGTTCCGAGGGTGAGGGAGGCCAGATTGGGTGCATAAGGGGGATTATATAAGTTACAAAACCAGTGGATCTAGGGTTTCTTCCAGACTGGCGGACTTGCCGAGTCCAGGATATGGACTCGTCGAGTCGCCCACTTACACGTGCTGGAAATCCCGTCTCTACTCGACGAGTCGGGCAACAGGCTCGTCAAGTCCCTCTTGAATACTTAGAAAAATAACCGTTAAATAACATACCAGAAATAGGGTCGTTACAATATATATATATAGGAAGGTTTAATTGAGAAAAAAATGTTGAGAATGAGGGAATCATTCTCAACCTTACATTTATTTTACCGCAAAACACTTAGGAGTATCGACGGAATCAATAAAGTATATACATGTATTTTCCAACCAAAGACGTTTCCTTAAAATATGTTAATCATTACCTTAATATAGACAAAACATTTTTTATTTTCTTATTTTTAGAATGCTATTTTTATCAAAATTTTATTTTAAATATACCAAAAATCAAAATTTTTTATTCTCTATAAATAGACATCTATATTGATATAGTTTTGACATAAAATTAAAAAAAATATTTTTTTTTACAGTCCCAACTATCGTTATTCATAAGTGAATAATAACGAATAAGATTTTTATTACAGTACATTCGTTATTCACTTATGAATAGAATGTATCATTAACTTTTTTACAGTTTAAACTTTAAATATCATTTATATATGAATATAACACGTTATAAAGTTTTGTTACCTAAAATATTTTTTTTACATCATCTTTCGTCATATATTATATTTATATATGAATAAAACGTGTATTAGTTGTCTTCATATGTTATATTCATAAATTAATAAAATATTTATAATAGTTTTGTTATAGTTCATTTGTTATTCATATATTAATAAGTAGTATGTTCAAAAAAAGATGAACTGTTTTGAAATTTGAACTACTTATTTATATAAGAATAACAAATGAACTGTAACAAAATTATGATAAATGTGTTCTTTGTATATGAATATAAGTTTTAACGAAAGTCAATGCACGTTTTATTCATATGTGAATATAATATGTGACGAGAGTTGATGTAAGCAGTAAATAGTATATTATATGTTATATTTATATATGAATAATACTTAATCTGTAAAAACAAAAAAAATTAATCATATTTTTTATTTATAGGTGAATAACGAATGTACTGTACTAAAAATCTGATGTATTTTTATTCACTTATGAATAATGATAGCTGAAAATATAAAAAAAACAAATTACTTTATCTTAAAACTATATCAATATGGATGTTTATTTGTAGAGAATAAAAAAATCATGAATTTTGGTATATTTAAAATCATTTTTTTTGCTGAAAATAGCTTCTTAAAAATAAATAAAAAAAACGAAAAAAAAACTATGATTGTGTATATTAAGGAAATGATTATTATAGTTTAAGAAAATATGTTTTGTTGTAAAACACATGTGTATTCATTTCCTATGCCAGCTAATACGACGGAGGGCGTAGGTATTTTCAGCAAAAGTAAATGAGTGACTGAGAATGATTCTTTCAATCTCAACGGAGGCCTTTGCCGCAAAAGTAAATGAGTAGCTGAGAATGATTCATTCATTCTCAACTTTTTTTATTTTCTCAATTGAACTTACCTCTCTCCCTCTCTCTCTCTCTCTATATATATATATATATATATATATATATATATTATAATATATATATATATATATATATATATATATATATAGGTTAGGTTCATGTGAGACGGCCTAATTTTGTAAGACTGTAAGACCAAATCTAAAAATAATTTTAAAATGCAAAATAAATGGAAAAATCCAAAAATTCTTTTTTAAATATTATTTCGGAACTTGAATTAACAAAAAAAAATAAAAAATAAAAAAATGCGTCTCACGGTCTCACAAAACTAGACCGTATCACATGAACCTAACCGTATATATATATATATATATATATATATATATATATATATATATATATATATATATATATATATATATATATATATATATATATATATATATATAGAGAGAGAGAGAGAGAGAGAGATACGGTCGTTTAATAACATAGATAATATGTAGTATAAGAAGATATTAGCTAAGAAATCCGATCTACATAATATAATATTATAGAATGCATTTTTCTTTGTGCATGTACCACGTGAAAACTAAATCAACTCGTATGCTAATATTCTTTTTGGAATGGAACATGCATGCTGATATACTATTTGGATTTAGGATTGCTATATCAAAATGAGGCCCCACGAGTTTTCGAAAGTCAGCGAAAATTAATTGAAGCTCTTTAGAAACAAACTTTTTAATAGTTATTAAGTAATATAAGTAGGTGTGAGATCCATGTATTACATGAGTTTAATTAAAAGAAACATATGAAATTTTAACAATTTGAAAAGTTTGAATTTATAAGAAAAATGAAAAAAAAAATTATTTATTATAATTATTGAAACTTTAATGTATTGAATACATTATATATATAAACAATTTCTAATAAATACTTTACATATATATTACATTACACAATAAATGTGGAATTTTAATTTAATAAAATAAAAAATACAATAAAATGAAAAGTAGAAAATAGAAAATTTAAAAATTTTGGAAAATGCCAAGTGTGCAAATGAAAGAGAAAATGACATGTGACAAAAAAACCTTTATTTATTATAGTAGATATGGTTAAATTTTTGTGTGTGTTTTTTTATCTTCGTATTTTTATTTTGTTTATCACATATTTAATCCTCACACTTTATGCCATTATCTATGTTTCTTCTTATTTGATTGAAAATTATCAATTTATAGTATTATCTTCCATTATCAAATATGATAAAATTATCTTCAACTATATTGCTTCGTTTGAATTTCTTTTGAACGACTAAAAGCTTTTACGAATAAAAAACCACAACTAACAGTCTAGCAAGATGCTCGAATGAAAACATTTCATCAAAGTACAATTCAAAAGGCTATTAAGCCAATCGGTGAAATTAATGATATTTTTCCGACTCCTACTAGAACACCGATCAAACGCGTTATTCACAATGGAAACAAAAACATCCTTGTTCCTCATATTTTTCTCCTAAAACAACCGAATTTCGTAAAACCATAAAACCCACCAAGTTTTAACATTTCTAGGACTAACCAATTCTATCTAGTCAGAATACAACCATCCGAAAGTAATGCATTATCAATAAATTTCGGAACCATATTAACTGAAAAAATGCACATTAACATCCAAGTTCTATAGAAAAGCATCACTTTGATCCGAGAATTGGAACTCACCAAGTGATACTTTAAGGGTTGAAGATTGATAATCTTCAACACCTTGTCTCATAATACATCTCCAAGTCCACACTCACATGTTATTATAGCTACGATCTGAAATTAGACAAATTTATCAAGTTCTAGGTTGTACAACCACAAAATTCAAGAATCACAAATGGGATTGCCCAACTAACATTTTTACAAAATAAAGTTTAGTCGACATTTCCCACTTTTCTCTTGGTGTTTCCACGTAAAATTAAGGGATATATACAGTAAAGCCCCGATATTTTCATCCAGTTGACACGAAAGTCCCAAACTAATTTTTTTAAAAACACAAAAGCCCGAATTACCGGCATTTATTGACCCGATTGACCTTTTCTGCCGGTGCATCCGGTTTACTTGGTGAAGTGGCACCAAATGCTTACATGGACCACTGATTTATTAAATGAGAGGCTTATGTGGAGTTGTCGACCTTACTTAAACACCATACCGTCAATCCCCATGAACCCTAGCTTCGTATTTTTCAAAGGAAAAGACGAGAATGTCGTCTTCTTCATCTATTGGAAGCAAGGTTATGCGAAGGTTCAATCCCCCTCAAAGGACACATTGCGATTGCGGTGACTTAGTTGGAAGGTGGACTTCATGGAAGACAAGAAATCCTGGAAGAAGATTCATTGGATGCCCAAATTATAGGGTTAGTTGTTAATGTTGAAATTCTTCATCTTTTAGTTTTTTTTTCTTTCTTTAATCTTGGATTATCCAGGATTCGAGTAAAGATTGCAAATTCTTTGATTGGGTGGATCCTCCACTCCCTAATCAGTGGTACAAGGACTTGCTCTTACAATTGCACAATGGGTGGAATGGAGATGTTGTAGAACAAATGGAAGAAGCAGTAGTAGAAGTTGTTCCAGCTCAAGTGCAAGGTGCAGGTGGTGTTGTTCCAAGGTGGTCAATGTTCTGGTTTATTTTGGGTTTATGTTTTGGTTTGTATTTTAAGATAATGTATTGGGATATGTAGTCACTATGTACGATGTTGTTTCTTTTGCAATGTAATGAACATTTTACTTATGTTGTATTGAATTATGGTGAAATCAAAGTACCACAACTATGAACCACATATGAATAATAAAACTGTCAATAACCAAGGCTAACCTGCACAACCAAACTTGAAATAAAATATGACATTGATCAATTGTGACCATTGGTTAATGCCCTTGCTTAATTACCAGTAATTGTTTACAAAATATGAACCAATATAAGTGGATATGTACCACCATTTACAAAATATGAACCACAAAGTGGTATGCAAAATATGAACCAAAAGATGGTATGCATCAGTTTACATAGTACCACCTTTTACAAAATATGAACCAAAAGATGATAACCCCTATCACTAATCTATAACTAATGCCTTATCTTCACACATTCCTATACCAAGAGGGTCAACCACCTTCTTTTTCAGCTTCTGAAGAATGATCCTCTCTGAGGGTCTCCTTGTTCTTTGTTTCATATTATTCCCAAAATGCCCTTGTTGTACTGGATCATTCACTGGAACACCTTCTTCATCTTCTTCTTGTCCATCTCCTTCATCTCCTTCTCCATCTTCTTTTTCTCCATCTCCTTCTCCTTCTTGTCCATCTCCACCTCCTTCCACTCCATCTCCTTGTCCATGTCCTCCTTCTTCTTCATTACCCTGTCCATCTCCTTCTAGTCCACCTTCAACATTGGCAGCCTAAAACAGAAAAAAAAATAGTAAAAAACACTTAATCATATACATAAACACTAAATGAAACCTTACCACATATCCAAACTCTTCTAAATGAGCTTTTGTAATTCCAAGGCATCTCATAATGTCTACATCAGTGTAACCTGATTTCCTCAACTCTGTAATTTGTTGTGTAATGTAGTCCATATCTGCCATATCCAGCCCATCTCCATCACTCATCACATCTACATCCACCATCTCTTCAGAATTATATTCTTCATTGACCCTTTTTTGGGGTGGTACTGTATTTGAGGTTTCACCTCTTTCAAACCAGCTATGAAAGCCACCCCCACCTCTAGGTACCCTACCACCTCCTCTATTTCCCCTTGTCCCCCTCTACCACGTCTTGTCCATTGGGTTAGACTAGGGTCCAATCTTGGCCTGCCTATTTTCTTATTGGGTTTAGGATCTGGTTCAACATGTGGATTTTTACAGGTTTTCTTGTTGTGCCCCTTTTGTTGACAGTTTTGACATTGGACAGTTCTGCCCTTTGAGGACACTTGAGAGAACTTGTCATCCCTCTCTGATACATGCCTTTTCCTTTTCACAGTAGGCCTGCCTGGCATCCTCCTCTCTAAGGGGGGTAAGGGCTTAATATAAGGAGCTTCTGTCCATAAATTGCTGCCATTAACAGGTAGAATGTTATAACTATAACTTGAAATGTACATTGCCTTACCAAACCACTTGCTGATAAATGTCTTTGGATCCTGATGAGTTAACATGATAGATGCTTGGGCATGGACACATGGTATCCCTGATACATCCCAAAGTCTACATGCACAACTCCTTTTCTCTATGTTGACTCCATATGATTCAAGACCATTTCTAACTTCAAATTCATTTTGTCCACTAGGGTGTACCCTCCAAAACCTGCAAATAAAAGTTGTTACTAAATTAGCATAAAAGTTATTAATAACTTAGCATAAATGTATACAAAACAAGGAGAACTTACTTCAAGTCCTCACCAAATTCTTCCATTTTCTTAATTGCAGATGGACACACATCTCCTTCCCATTTTTCAGCTAACTCCCTGAGGTTGTAAAACCTATCCATCATATATAGCCTTATCTCTTCAAGCATGGTCAGTAGTGGCTTCTTCCTATCATCAAGTATAACTACATTGAAGCATTCTGCCATACCATTTTCTACAGCCTCACAGGCCAATCCAGTGGAAAAGAAAGCCCTACACCATGTATTTGGCTCCCTTGCCATTAGATGTTCATAAGCACCTGGGCTAATCTGTCTTATCTCATCCATGTGATTCTTGAATTCACCCTCTACAGTTGATTTGGCAGCCTTCCAGAATAGGTTCCTTAACTGAATTCCACTATATACTTTTCTGAAGTTGGCATAGATATGTCGTGCACACTGTCTATGCTCAACATATGGTAACACCTCCTTTGTTGCCTCAAGAAGACCCTTATGTTGGTCTGAAATTACACACATGCCCCTTCCTGCATCCATTCCAAGGTCAACCTCTAACAACTGAAGGAACCACTTCCAGTTAAACTTATTCTCAATTTCAACTACAGCCCAAGCTATGGGAAAAACGTGATTGTTTGGGTCCCTACCTATGGCTGTTAATAATTGTCCCTTACACTGCCCTTTCAGAAAAGATCCATCGATCCCTACTACCCTTCTACAACCCATCTTCCACCCTTCTTTGATTGATTTGAAACATATGTACATCCTTTTGAAAATAGTTGTACCATCATTGTTGTCTTCGACACAAATTTTAATGGTGCTGTCTGGATTGGATCTTAGCAATTCACCACCATAATCCCACACCCTTGCATAGTGATCACCTAATTTTCCCTCAATCATGGACATTGCCCTACATCTAGCCCTATAACTCCTTACCCATGAAATCTTAGTGTGAAATTTGTGTTGAACTTTTTCTTGGATTTCCTTAGCTTTCAAATTAGGTGTCCTAATAAGTTCTTTAAGGAATTGTCTAGCTAACCATGTTGGTCCCATAAGTTTTCCATTGTTAAAATTCTTGACACATGTATGATGTGGATACATTTTCTTTATTTGGAATGACTTTTCAGTGCTCATCCAAGAGGCTTTAACATAATAAGGGCAACCGAATTTTCATGATCACTAGCACACACACAGTGTAGTCTAACACTATCACATTTATTAAACCTAATCTGATAACCTTTAGATATGGCATGATTTGTTAAACAGAGTTTAAGTTGCTGTGGAGATTCATACCTTTCTCCCTCTTGAGGTTTCATTCTATTCCATTTCACATTTGGATCATGTGTGGAATATTTAAACTGAGCTTCACTATCATTTTCCTCTTCATCCACAACTTCATCTACATTTTCTTCCTCCTCCTGTTCGTCATCCAAAGGTTCTTCTTCCACGGGTGCTTCATCATCTTCAACATTCTCGAATAATGGGATAATGAAGTCTTCATCTTCATCGTCAAGAGACAGTGAGTTCAAGAACTCATCTCTACATCTCCTACTCTGTTTCTTTAGAAGGTCTTCATCTAGTTCCACGTCGATCGTGTCAAAGTCCAACACACCTTCCATCTTCAAGGCTCCAACTCGTATCTCCCTTGGACTCGAATTCGTATCTCCTTCACAGTAAAAACCCTAGAATTGTCGCAGTAGAAAGAGAGGTTTTTCCAGCTCGATTAACCCTTCTTCATTTAATGATGTCCTCGTCATCTTCCAAGTAAGTGTTAGTAGCCACATCATCTCGATTACCGACTATTAAATGAGTTACCGGCAAAAAATATCAATCGGGTCAATAAATGCCGGTAATTCAGGCTTTTGTGTCATAAAAAATTAGTTTGGGACTTTCGTGTCAATTGGATGAAAATATCGGGGCTTTACTGTATATATCCCTAAAATTAACCCTTTCTCATTCATTGTATATAAAGCTTGAGGATTCTTCCCCACATACCTCTTGCCCATGGTTCGAAATTCATCAGCTTTTATAACATTCACCCGAAGAGCATCGTTTACTTTAACATATCCGTATCACCATTTTTTTAAGCAGAGTATGGTTAATACTTAATAGCATCCAAACTACCAATACCGATGCCTCTTTTTCTAACGAAGTAGGTATGATATCCCATTTCACCCAATGATCTTTACACTCTTTTTAAATGCAGCCCCAAAAGATTATCAGTTATACTCCTAGTAGATATTTACGATTCTCAACTTAAAAAAAAAAAAAAAAAAAAAAAAAAAAAAAAAAAAAAAAAACTAGACATAAAATAAATGTTGGGAGAATCCAAAACTGAGGTCAAAAGCATAATGGGTAACATGTTCACCTACCAAATAGACATCTTAGCCTTGAGCATTTGAATAACAAAAACCCAGCTCGGCAGTCTAGACATATTTGAGTTTACAGGTATGGCTAAATAAACAAATGGAAGTTTATCTTGTTTACAACCTATAATAGTTGTTATTTGCTCAACCGACTAAAATCAACACCAAAATTGTAAAGATTCGATTTTTGGAGATTCAACTTCAATCCAAAGAACAAATAAAAGCAATTCAACACAATCACAAGGTTAGATATATTTTTCAAGACCACTCTCCAAGCAACGAAAACATCAACATATAAAAAATGAGATATCATCGAATCATTTCTAATCTTAGCTCCTCTGCAGAAAGCAACATGATTTGTATCCTTTGACGGCAACATGCAAACTTTCCATGGCTATAAAAAATAAGAAATGAGTAGAGGGGCTCCTTTTTTAAACCATAATACAACTGGAATTCATCCTTGGGCTTCCATTAATTTAAACAAAAGACCTGGATGAAGATTAAAAGGATCTAATCCACCCGATTCATTTATCTCCAAAACCAAGAAAGATCATGATTTTCACCAAATTGTACCATGACTACGAGATATAGGCCTTTTCAATGTCAAATTTCAACTCCATGAAATTTTTCTTCATCTTCCTGTACTAGTGTATTATTTTATTTACCATAAGCAGAACACTAATTGCACCAATGTGGATTCTTCATAATTACCACACGAGCTAGTCTATTAGCTAATGTTGGAAAATATTAATGTATATGATGACTCACACTGAAATAAGAACACTAACGACCTTGCACCAATGCCGATTCTTCAACCCCATGGTATTTTAATGATAATAAATCATAATTACTAAACATGCAAAATCAATTGTTATCAAACAACCCAACATAAATATCTATAAGACATTTTACCCTTAGTTACTCATGTCGTCGATCCTCACGTACTGATCCTACTATGACATCTAACCTGATGAATCATTGTAAGTAATGAGTTGACTATATTGTTCGGGGATTCCACGATAGTAGGCATAAGTCTATAAAGGAAACAATGGGGAATAAAGTACCTGAAAGAACATACAATCCTTTTCCTTAGATCAGTATAGTACTCTAGTAAGTAAAAAAGGAGGAATATTAGTACAGTACTCTTACTCTGGTAGCCTGATGCAAACACACCATTTTTGGCTATCTAAAAAGAGGAGGAATGGTAGTATAGTACTCTCTGGTATGTAAACCATACTCTAACATGTAATAATGTCATAGAACAGAGCTCTACTCTCCGTTCCAATATTACACACGCCCTTAGTATGATACTACCCGATATCCAACTTATTTGAACTAAAGAATCCCTTTTAAGTCTTAGTTTATAACTAGACCTGACTATAATACTGTAATCCACTTCCATTACAATTTCTTGTTTATGCGATATTATCATGATGCATGTTTAACTAAGCACTTATTAAACTTACTTTAAACTAAGTATCCTTGACAAACCTTAGTTTACAACTAGACCATATCACAATACTTTGTAATTCACTTTCAATACAGTTCTCATGTTCATGCAATACTATCACAATACAAGGTATAACTTACTTGAAACTAACATCCTTTATATGTCTTAGTTTAAAACTAGACAAGACCACGTTCACTGTAATCAACTCTCAATACCAATCCTTGTTTATGCAACGCTATCATAACACAATATATATTTTTAACATAGGGTATCAAATATTTAATATATATTAATCCTTTAAGTAATAATACTCCCATTAAGCTTGTCATATAGTAATATTGTATATACACTTAACACATATATGACCATATTTGGTTTGCACAATATATTATGTAGTATTACCAAATATACATTTAACATATATTCAAAATAATAAGCATTTAATTCAAAAATAAGCTTTCTACTGGTATTAATACTTTTAATAAATACTTCTATTAAAATCATGTTGATGAAAGTAACTATAGACTCACTTGTTTCACGTGAAAGATTCACAAAAAAAAAAAAGCTCATCAACTAACGCTTCAGCTTTTTCTTATTAAATGACCTAAATACAAATATTACCACATCTCAATATTTGTTCATAGTTATAATGTTGAATTAATTATTTATAGATTCTACAATTATCCCAAAGAATATCAAATTCTATCAAATAAGAAATGACCAGGTAAGATCACATTAGAGGTAGGATCTGTTTGTTATACACAATATACTATTTGGAAAATTTACTTCAAACACCTCACTTAAAGCAAATGTAGATTAATTTTTATTTTGAATAGAATTGCTAATAAATCTTATTTATATGTTCATAATAATAACTATGAACATAAATATAACTTACGCTTAAAGTGTAGTAAGTATATCTCAACTTATAGGTTTTCTAGCAAAAGTCCAGAAAGTCATGGGCAGAACTTCAACTCTGAATACTTAATTATGTCAGGTTTTGTCTGATACAACAATGACTTGCTAAAGCCCTCAAAATTTAGGAAAATTGGAATTCAAGAAGAGGAGAAGATTTTCTAGAGAGAGAAACCTAGGTTTGGCAAAGAAATGAGGATGAGTGGCTTGACATTTATAGGTTGTCACATGGGGGAACACCCCACCTTTGTCCTAGCCACACCGCGCCATTACGTACGCATCAAAGGTTGTCTCCAAGCATGACACATGTCACGATATATGTCACGATATGGGTGGATCTGCGTCATCACACACATGTATTTTTGTCAAATCTTCGAAAAATCATATCTTTCGCATACGAGCTCCGTTTTCGACATTCTTTGTATCCTCAGTTCCGTATCGATGAGTACTATAGCTTTTCTTTAGATTTCAACAACTAATTCAGACTTTATTTCTATTCTACAGTCTATAAATATTACATTGTAAAATACTTTGCGAAAATTATAACTCCTTCATAAAAACTCTCTTCTCGACGTTCATTATATTGACGAATTTATATTTAAGACTACATTAACTCTCATTTACATTGTTTTTGCCAATGAGTAGCCTATCTACCATTCATATTTTATGACACACATTGGTGTATTTAGTTGAACACGAAACATCGAAAAATCATAAAATCTTTATACCAAGTCTGATTTGGGCGTTCTTTATACTCAAGGGTTCATAATCACGAACACTACAACTTTTATCAAGGTTATTTATCCTAAGCAATAATATATTTATACTTGTTCATTTATCCTATTTTCTTAAGATTAAAAATAAGGTTTTAGACAAATATTATATACCCATAACATTTTCTCAAGCTTCACGTACATAATATATATAAATCACTTGTATATATAATAAATATTTATATAACATGTAACGTGTACGAAGAATAATCATCCTTACTCAAGGATTTTAATTGTTAGAGAAAATGAATATTTATTACTATTATCCCTTAAACGTCTAGCCCTATTTATTACTATTATCCCTTAAACGTCTAGCCCTAACTCATGGGTACTACCAATCTCCCCCACTTAGGATGATTTCGTCCCCGAAATCACAAACCTAGCAAATAAATTGTTGGATTTTTATTAAAAATAGTCCAATTATAAACACATAACTAGATGTAATTAGCAGAGGAAAACTTTGATTTTGCACAAAATCAAACTAGTTATATACCTACCAAGGATCATTTTGTAAGAACATAGAAATTAATATTAAAAAAAAGCCAATGAAGAAGAATGTGATACAACATTTGAAGACTATAGTCTCTTTTGGCAATTAGGAAGTTGACGAAGATGACTTTAAGCTCTAAATTAGGATCTCTATATTTGTATCCACTAAGCAAGATTTTCACAACCAAAATATGCTAGTAAACACTTGTTTAAATTTGTTTTTTAAGCTTTAAGACTTATACCAAATAAGTGTATAAAGAGAAGCAAATTTACTGACTAGAGAGGGAAGGATTAGAATTTTGAAAAAGTTATCTGCCATTTGAGAGGATTCTTTTAAGCAAAAAGACCAACCAAATCACTACTAAATGCTTTCTTTAGATAGCATCTAATGTATACAAAAGTTAAGAATAAAAATTGAAGAGGTAAGGCTTTCTTACGAACATGGAATTAATTAATAAATAATTGAAAAGCATGTCCCCTATGCCTAGTGAATACGACAAAATCTACGTGCTTATTACATATCTCATAACTAGTTAGTTAAGTTGTAAATATTTGGTCACCTAAAGTGTCCAAAAGTTATACATAACTTCAATAACCATACCATATTATATATATATATATATATA